AAAAAAAAAAAAAAAAAGAAAAAACAAGGAAAAAAAAAAAAGAAAAAAGGAAAAAAAAGAAAAAAACCTTTCTATTTCTAGTGAGAACCAAAGAGGCTACCTCACTGACTTTTTCCATTTGTAATTTTAATCGTGTTGATGATACCAAAGATACCAAAGATTTCTTTCTCTGTGCGGTCTGCCTTCCGCTTGTGCTCTGTTGTGGTTCCAGCCGTTCTCTCCTGCACACAGCCACGTACAGCCGCGGCCCACACACCCACAGACACGCTTCTCCCGGGAGCTGCCGGGCCTGGTCACCACCTTCCCTCCGTTCCCCTGCCAGCCAAAGCCCCCCTGGGGGACGGGACACCCCTTCCCGCCCCCTCCCCACGCCAGGGTCCATGGGTCGGAGCGTTGTGTCCAGCTGGAGCTGAACCCGGGCTCTCTCCAGCAGCCAATTCCCCGGGGAAAGGTCCCCGTCTCCAGTCCCGCGTACCTGAAGGGAGCCTACAGGAAGGCTGGGGAGAACCTGTTTAGAAAGGCCTGCAGTGACAGGATGAGGGGCAATGGCTTCAAGCTGGAGGGGAACAGATTTAGACTGGGGATGAGGAGAGGGTTCTTCACTGTGAGGGTGGTGGAGCACTGGACCAGGTTGCCCAGGGAGGTGGTTGAGGCCCCTTCCCTGGAGATATTCAAGGAGAGGCTCGATGAGGCCCTGGGCAACCTGGTCTAGTTGGGGGTGTCCCTGCTGACTGCGGGGAGGTCGGACTAGATGGCCTTTGGAGGTCCCTTCTGGCCTGGGCAATTCTATTCTATGACTGAGGGGTGCCCACCTGCACCCGCGGCAGAAGTTACCCTCAGAAATCACTATTTTCAGGCAATGCCGTTCTTCAACAGCCAGGCTGAGGCGGGGATGTGGGGACCACCCAGAATCACAGAATCTTCTAGGTTGGAAGGGACCTTAAAGATCATCTTGTCCAACCCTCAACCTAATTTTGACCAGAATTTTTGACCCATCTCCATTTGGGCCACCTGGACACCAAGCAGCAAGCCCTGGGCTCCTCCTGGGCCTCTGGTGAAGCCGGGGGGCACGGCAGACACGGCGGCTGCTCGCTCCCCCTTACATCTTCTTCTTCTTGTTTGCAATTACCATTTTCATATGAAAATCAATTAATTATTTTTCTCAAGTTAGCAATGAAACAAAGCTACATTAAGCTCCATTAGTATCACATTCCTAAGTGGCCACTTAAAAGTCAGTGGTTTGCCCTTGGGGAATGGGTGGTGCCCTTTGGCGTTTGTTCCTTCCAGCCTGTTCCATCCTGTTTCTGGGAGAGAACCAAACACCCGGGCACAGTCACGGCTCCCACCACCCTGCACCTCCCCACCTTCCCACTTCAGAGCCAAGTCCACCTTTTCTTCAGAAACCCCCCAAATCCCGCAGTTAAAAACAACCAGGAGGGGAGCCCTGGCTGGTTGGGGTACTTAAAAGAGGGGGACAAAAAAAAAGAAACCCGAATTCAGATAGCAAGGTGGGCACTTCTGGCTGAGCTGAAGAGCTGGTTCATACATCTCTGGACCTGCCCGGAGTGGGCACAATCACCTCGCTCCAATGACAATGAAGGCAGGTGGCAGTGACACCTCCCGCGTTGGTGCCACCACCCTCGGTGGGATGGGGGCCATCAGCTTGAGCCTTTCCCCAGGGAATCTGCCTGAGCAGTGCCCGTGGACCCACACCCATGGGTTGCCAACAGCTCGACACAAACGCTCCGCTTCAACCCAGCGTTGCCTTTTATTTGGTGTTTCTTTCTCAGTTTGAAGTCCCCGTTGGGAAGGACGGGGGCTTGAGAAGTGTGCTTTCTTTGTCTCTCTCTCTCTCTCTCTGTGTATTCCTTCAATAAAAAGCTATAATAATTCTCAGGATGCCTTCTGGGCGTGGAGGAGACGATCTGTCCTCATGCCAGGCAGAACCTGCCCCCCGGGCACCCCCTGCCCGGCCGGGACGGGTGGCTGGGGGGCACAGGGTACCCCCAGAGCTGGCAGGGTCCTCTCAGCAGCCGCGGCTCTCACCAGACTCCTGCTTCCCTTGCAAAGTGTGACATGACCACGGGACGAGTGCCTTGCTTGAACCAAAGCAACGATTTTTGCCAGTCTAGACCTTTCTGTGCTTTTTTTTTTTTATTCTTCCTGTGAATACCTCAGCTTCAACTGGGCCGCCGAATCGTACCTGGTGGGCTTTTTGTACTGTGGTGCTTTGCAATGCAGCCCTGCAAAAGAACAAAACTCCTCATAATAATACCAAAGGCTCCTCTCCTGCCTCCTCTACCCTCCTTTCTCCTTCTCCTTCTCCTTCTCCTTCTCCTTCTCCTTCTCCTTCTCTTTCTCATCCTATTCCTCCTCCTCCTTCTTCTCTTTCTGTTTCTCCTTCTTTTCTCCTTCTTCTCCTTTTCTCCTTCTCCTCCTTTTCTCCTTCTCCTCCTATTCCTCCTCCTTCTCTTTCTCTTTTTCTCCTCCTTCTCCTCTTATTCCTCCTCCTTCTCTTTCTCCTTCTTCAACTTCTCCTCCTCCTTCTCTGTCTCCTCCTTCCCCTCATCCCCTTCCTCCTTTTCCTCCCTATTCTACTCCTTCTCTTCCTTCTCCTCCTCTTTCTCCCCCATCTCCCTCTCCTCTTCCTCCTTCTCTGTCTCCTCCTGGTTCCAAAGCTTTAATATAAAACTGGGCATGTTGGCAACGCAGACCGTGCAATCCCTTACCGAATTTTCTCAGATATACCTCATAGAGAATAGTTGTTTAGAGTAATGTTATTATAGCGTATGTAATAAATTATTCACTGTTTCTTTTTGGTAACTGTGATTTAAAAAAAAAAAAAAAGAAGAAAAAGCTTTATACGTTTTAGGTTGTGCTTTTGTAATAGACGGAAAAGGTGCGCTTAAAAATGTACGTCAGTCTTTCTTCCTGTTGGGTTTTTTTGTTTATTATGGATTGGGGAAAAGTTGCAGAATGAGCCCAAAGTTTACAGTTTCATATTTTGCTGAAGAAACAATCTGTGTTAATTTGCTCTGTTGGAAAAAAAAAAAAAAGAAAAAAAAAGATTATTTTCTACATTTGTGCTACTTGGTCTGAACAGCTAATTGTTCTGTGTGACGGTGTAGTATTATAATTAGCAACTGCCAATCAGCGCGACCATTTTTATGCATGAGGCAAAACCTTAGCAGTGTGATGCATCGTGGTTCTTAATGGCAACTTCTTTTTTTTTTTTGGATTTGGGACTAGGCCTTTTGCTTTGATGGTATTTCTTTATGCATGGAGCCTGTTACCCGTCAGCAGTGGTGGCGCAGTCGTGTATGCCTTCGGGCTGTGAAAACACGCACAGCTCTCTTCATCTCGCCCTGTTCCACACACAGGCTCAGACTGAATCCCGGGTACACTCGATTTTGGTTTGAGGAGAGGTTTGGCCAGCCGGGCCCAGCCCGTGGGACCCCCTGGCCAGTGGCTGGGACACACACACATCCTGCTCAGAACGGAGCCAACTGTGCGTGTTTTCCCAGGCTCGGGAGTTCCTTTGGCTTTATGGCAGGGCAGGGGGGACCCCGGCCACCCCGGTGACTCCTTCCCCGTCCCAGGGGGCTTCCTCAGGACACGGAGGGGTCGGGGTCCCCGGCGCCCTTGGCTCGGGGCTCAGGTTCATTGGAATGCTTTGCACCCCCTTTGAGTTACCCCTCCTGTCGCAGGGGGGTTCCACGCTACCCCCCCAAACACCCCTGGTTTTCCAGTGGCAAATCGATTGCCGTTCCTCTCCGGCCCGTAGCGTCACCCTGCCCCGCTGGCCGAGCCCACATGAAGCCAAATCAACTGCTGAACACACTTTACTCTGCGTGGGAGGGGAGGGGGGTGCCGGAGGCACCGGCTTCTGAGGAGGCATCCGAAGTGACGTGGGTAGAGTGTGTCTGTTGTCTGTCATTAAGGATATATTAGAGATGTGCTTTCATTAGTGCAAAGGAACATATTTTTTATTTGGCCTTATACGGTAGATTGTGATAACGAAAGCTTTGTAATATAGTCTGTTTACTTTATTTTTATTTTTTTTCCCCCCCCTTATTTATCTGCCAAAGACGGTGACGGATACGAGAATTTTAAATAGGTTTTTTTGTAAGACAGTTAATGATTGTAATAGTGTTTAATCTTCCAGAAAGCTTTATATGTTCTTCCGCAATAAGCAGGCCCAGTGTGTGCTGGGGCAGACCCTCCCGGGGCCGGCAGAGCCCCCGCTGCCCGGCCCGGC